TGGTTTTAACTTCCTTTTTCACAAAACTGGTTGGCACATTTTGGGGCCTACTTTTTCCAAAGTTGTTATGTCTTTTTTTGAGAAAGGTTACTTGCCTCGAAAGGTCAAAGCTACTGTCAATGCCCTCATTCTTAAGTCTTCCCATGCAGCTTCTATATCTAACATTAGGCCGATATCACTCTGCAACACCTTGTACAAGATCATTACTTCTAGGCTCGAACACATTATGCCCCTCATTAATAACCAGGCTCAAGTTGGTTTCATTAACAAAAGGATCACTATTGATAATGTAATTCTTGCTACAACCATGTTGAGGTTTAAAAAAAATGCACTAATAGCAACTTTATGTATGCCAAATTGGACGTCAGGAAGGCCTTTGATTCTATATATAGAGAATTTCTATTCCAGAGGATGGCCCAAAAAGGTTTCCCTAACATCTTTATTTGTTGGGTTAAGGCTTGCATTTCAAATGTGCATTTCTCTGTTTGTTTGGAAGGGGGTTTGGAGGGTAATTTTCCACTACAGGAAAACACGTGAAAACCGTCGGATGTTCCGGCAGAATTTTTTGCGTCGATAAATACGGCGTTTATACAGAGGCATAATGTGAAGGAATATTAATGACGTTTATTCTGGTGCATCTTGCAACAGAAACTTGCCGACGTCCATTGCACCGATACTAACGTCAGAAATTAGCAGCTTTTCATTATTACCGGCAAAGTTTACGACAGAATATGTCCGGCGCATTTACCGGCAGAGAATACGTTAGCTATTTTAAACTCAACGACTTGGAACCGACGAAACATGCGCTGGAAAAAGTTCTGGAGTCCGGGACGTCGGAAAGTCCGCCTGCGAAAGTCCTATTTCAAAACACGACCCGTCTAGCTGCTTATTTCATTACGGTCTTTCTCTCGCATCTCCGATCTCTCTCTCGTCGCCCCAGCATCGGCCACCCTAAATTGCCGTCGCCAAGCTTTGTAGACGTTCACGGGACGTCGCCGATGATCACCACCTTCATCGCCATCGAAAGGAGATCGTTTTCCCAAAATTCGACCCCGATTTTCCACCGCCTCCCGATTTTCCACTGCCTCCAGATTTTGTCGATTGTAAGATTTTTTTCTTCATGTTATTTCTTATAGACATTTGCTAGATGATGCACATATTAGATATTTTTTTGTTGATAAATTTTTCAAAATCAATTTGGATTCATGCCAAGTTGGTCTATTATGGAAGCCATACTTTTATTGATAGGTTTGATGGAGAAATATAGAGAGAATAAGGAGGATCTACATATGATTTTTATTGATTTAGAGAAAGAATATGATAAAGTTCAAAGAGGAGTGCTATTGAGAGTTCTTGCAAAATAAAAAGAGTTAATAGCGCTTATATTCAAATCATTAAAAATATGTATTCATGAGATATTACTTATGTTAAAACACAAGGTGGTTTGACAAAGTAATTTCTTATTAGCTTTGCAGCCAGTTCATATGAGTCCTTATATAGTCAACAAATAACTGCCCTTCAAGCAGAGCTAGAATAAGCAAATCACAAGCTGATTGGAAAGTTCAGTTGCAAGCACAAGTTCAAATGCAGATGCAAGAGCAACACAATTAGTTGTTGGATGAAATGCGCAAAATGAGGGAGTAGTTGAGTGGAAAAGAGGTAGCTCCAGCTGAGGATGAGTCCATGAATTCAGAGTAGTTTAGTTTAGTCATATGAACTTGTTTACTTTTTTGAATCTGGGTTATTGAACAATTTGTGATGTTTTTAATATTAGTTAGTTAATGTATTGAACAATCTATTTTAATAGATATTTATGTTTTTAAGTATATGTTGAAGTTCTTGAGATCTGTGATGTGTAGATCTATGTTGTGGAACTATTATTGTATGTATTTGTATATGTTTGCAGGTGTAAATCCGATTGTTGGCTGGGAATGCAATTTTTTTATTATTGCTATAGGTTTTTGACAGATTTGGCATTGGAAATATGTCGGAAACAATGATACAATGAATCGGTGCAATGATGTCGGCATTTTATTTCTGCCGGAAATACTAGCGAAAAATGCGTCGGAAATAAGTCGTAGCTTTAGTTATGGCGCACCTGACGACGTCTTATCCGCTGGAGTTTATGGCAACTAAAGGGCGCCGGAAATAAGGCATAGCTTTAATTACGGCGAACCTTACGTCATTTTATCTACCGGTATTTCCGTCGGATATGTACGTCGTAAATTCTGGTGTATATAATGTCGGAATAATCTATTAAGAAATGACATTTTGGCTAACACATTTTGCATCGTTAATGCATCAGACAGTGCGCTGGAAAGATTTTCAGCGACTTATAAACATTGTAAGATATTTTTCGACGCGCACCAAACCGGCGTACGAAATTCCGACGAAAATGCGCCGAAAACCAAGGATTTCGTAGTATTTTATGTATTATCGACGGATACTTTTCGCCGGTAATATCGAGTTTTTCTGTAGTGTTCCCTCTTCTTCTAGTCTTTTCCAAGGCTGTCCTTTAGACCATATTTATTATGCAATGCTTTGGATACCCTCTCTTGCTTGTTGGATTGTACTGAGCATGCTAATCAGTTTGAGGGTTTTTGACACGAATGGGTTTCACCTCTCGCGCTTACTTTACGCTGACGATCTTTTATTTATTTGGTATAATCTCCCATCCTAATTATTCAACCTTAAAGGAGATTCTTGTCACATTTTCTAGCTCGACTGGTTTGGTAATTAATTTGAAAAAGCTCTATCATCTTAATCCTAATAACCCCAATGCTAATGACATTTATGCTATCCTCAACATCCCTTAACTATGCTTTAAAATTACCTACTTGGTATTGTCGATCTCCATTAAGAGTCAGCGTCTCTAATTTCTGACCTCTCTTGATGTTATCATTTACAAGCTTTCCAGTTGGAAAGCCAAATCTCTCTCTCTCTCTCTTTTGCAGGTTGGCTTTAATTCCTTAGATTCACATTTTGGAATAACATTGTTTACTGGATTAGTGATGCTATCATACCAAAGTCTTTCTCTAAGCAAATTGTCAAAATTTTAGCAAAATTCCTATACTTTGGTGATTCTAATGCAAATAAAATTCATATTGTTTCTTGGTCTAATACATGCATATCTAAAAACAAAGGAGGATTGGGCATTCATGACTTTAATGCTCTTAGATATGCTTTTAATTTCTCTTTAATTTATAGAATTTTCCACATCCCTTCCTTATTATCCTCGTGGTTATTCAACAATTGTTGTTCACCTTGGAAAAATACCCCACCAATTGCCTCTGCTATGTGGAAAAGCGTATGTGATTCAACCTTTAAAGCTATAAATAGTTTCTTCTCTAAAGTAACGGTTAATAACCTGATCTCCCTAATATGGACCATTGGTGTAATAGTATTGCTTTAGTTGAGATCCCTCATCATGAATCTTTACTGGATCATTTTTCTACTGATGCTCGTATTACTGACCTCATTGACACTAATGGCTAGAAGTTGTTTGCTTCTTCTCATGGGATTATTCAAAATAAAATCCTTTCAACTCATATATATTCTGATGGAAACATGAGATGTCAGAATTAATGCTCTTAGACGAATTATTATGTCATGTCACTGGACCATCCGGTCAACAATCCATATGTGCCTTGTCACCCGGATACACTGGGCCCCGGGTGTATGTGGGTGACGTGATGCGTCTGGATTGGTATCCGGACAAATCGAGAAACCGAACGTAATAATTTTCCCTAATATTGGGGGTAGATTTTACTCTTTCATGCAAAACTTTTATAAAGAGGATAATTTGGTCTCTTGGCATAGTGTTGTGTTGCATAATCATTATGCTCTTAGGTTCTCTATATTCGACTAGTTTTGTCTGAATGGGGGTCTCAAATATAATGTTGTTCTTATCAAGAGAAATGTTGGGGTTGATCCTTATTGTTGTCTGTGCAAATTGAATCATGAGAGTGCCTCACACTTAATTTTTGAGTGTGATTTTACCTTTTCCATCGTCTCTTATTTTCTGCCAATCTTAAAAGATTTTCTTATGAGGCCCAATATAACTCAAACTTTAGATTTTATTGCAGGAAGTGCTAATCATAAACTGTATAAGCTGAATTTCTTGTTGTTATGGTGCTTTGTTTAATATATTTGGCAAGATAGAAATATTAGAAAGTTTGATAATTCTTATAATAACTATATTACCATATAGGAGAACATAAGAAAAGCAATTTGTTTTAAACTAACAAGATGGAAAAATGGAGAGGAGTTTAACAGTATGCTTTATGATCTGGACTGATTATCAAAGTGATCTCTATGTTTTTTTTTTGTTCCTACAGCTCTGATTGGGTTTTGTTGTCTTGTTGGTTCATGCTATCATGTCATTTGCGATCTCATATTTGCATTTTTTTCTGGATTTGTGCTCATCCGGCTATGCAATTTCTTTATCTTCTTTTGCTATATGCGATTCTTGGGAAAAGAGCTTGAGATTGGTATGGGCCGAAAATGAATTCAATGCATCCCTCATTCAATTGACGGTGATTCTTTGCAACATTATCTAGTAATGAAGGCAATACTCGCAACCTTGGTGTTTGGTAGTTGCAATGACATTGTTCTGAGGCTTTTAGAATTTGAAAATTTTCTTTCTTGATTTTTGGGTGCCAATTTTTTGTATTTGACCACTTTTTGCTCTTAGTCTTTTTCAGCCTATTTTGTATTGTGTTCTTTATTACACTTTTTTTGCTGAGCCGGAGCTTTTGCTCTTAGTTTTTCCTTATTTGTTTTTCATAGTTATGTGCTTTTGATTGTTTTTTCATAATCTCTTTTCTAGTAACTACTTTTCATATAATGAAAATTCGGCTTTGCCCTTAATTTTTCAAAAAAAATATTGGGTCCATGTGCGTGACAATTTATGATTAATTTGAAATGATTTTTTTATTGATTCTTAAAGCGGCTTTTTAATATAAAATATATATTTGTTGTACTAAAAAATTGTTTAAAAAGTTAATACAAAAAAAAAGGCACCTCATAAGCTAGGAAATCGAAGGGAGGATTTATAGACTTCCAAAGCGAAAACACCCGTTACAAAACCCCGCAGACAAATCACAACCCAACCGCTGCGCTCAAAATAAAAAAATAAAATGATGGCGGCAAAATTTCCACCACCCTCTCGTCGTTTCATTCTCCTCCTCCTCTCAATCTACGTTCCTCTCGCTAAACTCCAAACCGAATCAAGCGAGGCTGAGAAACGCACTCTTCTCCAAATCAAGAGCGACTTCGGAAATCCTCCATCACTCGACTCCTGGAACAACTCCACCTTAACCAATCTCTGCAACTGGACCGGGGTCCACTGCGACGACTATGGGTCCGTTTCCCAAATCTCCCTTCCCAACCAGAACATCGCCGGTCAGTTACCTCCTTCCATGTGTAACCTCATCAATCTCACCGTTCTCGATCTCAACAACAACTCCATCTCCGGCGTCTTCCCCACCCTCCTCTACAACTGCTCCAGTCTCCGGTACCTCGACATCTCCCAGAACCTCCTCGTCGGCAATCTCCCCAACGACATCCACCGCTTGCCTTCCCAGCTCACCGAACTTATCCTATCCGGAAACAACTTCACCGGCGACATACCGACATCCATCGGCCAGCTACCGGCTATTCAAAGGCTCTGCCTTGATTACAACCTTTTTAATGGTGCCCTTCCGGCCGAAATCGGGAACCTTTCCACCTTGGAGACTCTCTGGCTCGCGAACAATCCTTTCCCCCGGACAACGACGATTCCGCCAAAGTTCGGCAACTTGACGAGACTGACTTATTTGTGGATGAGACAGGCGAACTTGGAAGGAGAGATCCCGGAGTCTTTTGGGAAGTTGGCTGCGCTCCAGCATCTCGATTTGTCAATAAATTCTCTGAGCGGGAGAATTCCTGATGGGATTTGGGCGCTTGAGAATTTGCGATTTCTTTTTCTGTACAAGAATCAACTCTCCGGCGGAATCAATGGAACGGCCATCAAAGCTCTCAGCTTCGAGTCCATCGATGTTTCACAGAATCAGTTAACAGGAAGAATACCAGAGGAATTTGGGAGAATGGGCAATCTGTCTTTTCTATTAATGTACCTTAATCGATTTTCCGGCGAGATCCCGGCGAACATCGGCTTGCTTCCATCACTTACCGATCTTCGCCTTTTCAACAACAGACTATCCGGCGGCCTGCCGACGGAGCTTGGTAAGCACTCACAGTTGTGGAACGTTGAGGTAGACGACAACCTGCTCTCTGGTGAGTTTCCATCAGATCTCTGCGCTAGAGGAGCACTGGTCTCTGTTATTATGTTCAATAACAACTTCTCAGGCAATTTGCCGGCGTCACTCAACAAATGCTTCACGCTGAGCAATCTCATGATCTACAGAAACAATTTCTCCGGTGAACTCCCAGCTGGGATCTGGACCGCGGCTGTGAATTTGACGACTGTGATGATAGGAGACAACTCGCTCACCGGCACTCTACCAAACGTACTCCCGTGGAATCTAACGCGGCTTGAAATCCAGAACAACCATTTCACTGGCAACCTTCCTTCGACGGCCAAGAATCTTATCGTTTTCAATGCGAACAGTAATCTTCTCTCCGGCCCGATTCCTACCAATCTGAGTGGTTTCTCCCAGCTTGCCGTCTTATCCCTTGGGGGCAACCAGATATCCGGCTCTGTTCCGCCGGGAATCTCCAATCTTCGATACCTCACAGATCTAAATCTCAGCAGCAACCAACTCGTGGGCGAGATCCCTTCCTCAATCGGCACCTTGCCAGTTCTCATCTCGCTAAATCTATCAAACAACCAACTCTCTGGCGCCATCCCGTCGGCACTCGGTGACCTCCGGCTTAACCTACTCGATCTGTCCTCCAACGATCTCTCCGGCGAGATCCCAATCACGCTGCAGAGCAAAGCTTACTCCCAGAGCTTTACCTCCAACCCCGGCCTCTGCTCCTCCAACTCCGATCTCCACATCAACCCCTGCAAATCCAGGGCGGAAGGCTCGAATGGGCTCGCCCGAGGCGTCCGCATCCTTATTGCTGTCCTTGTAGCTCTCGTTCTAATTGCCGCTGGCCTCTTCGCCTTCTTCGCGGCGAAGGACTGTCGCCAACGGCGCAGGGCCGATATCGACCAGGATTGGAAAATGACGCCGTTCCAATCGCTGGATTTCACGGAGGAAAGCATCATTCGTGGACTCAAAGAGGAGAATGTCGTGGGGAGAGGCGGATCGGGGAAGGTATACCGCGTGGCTGCCGGAGTTCGATCCGGCGGCGCTGTGGCCGTGAAGAGGATGTATTGCGAGAGGAAGATGGATTGGAAGCTGGAGAGGGAATTCGAAGCGGAGTTGAGGGTTTTGGGCTCGATCCGCCACATCAATATTGTGAGGCTGCTGTGCTGCGTTTCCGGTGCGTGCGAGAAGCTCTTGGTGTATGAGTACATGGAGAACGGGAGCTTGGATCGGTGGTTACACGGAGGGCACAGAGAGTTGGACTGGCCTGGCAGAGTCGGTATAGCGATCGGGGCGGCGCAAGGTCTGAGCTATTTGCACCACGAGTGCTCGCCTCCAGTGGTGCATCGCGACGTAAAGTCCAGCAATATTCTTCTAGACTCCAAGCTTAGGCCCAAAATAGCTGATTTTGGTCTGGCCCGGATCATGGCCCGACCCGGAGAACAGCATTCGACTGCGGTGGTTGTGGGGTCGTTCGGCTACATGGCACCAGGTCAGCACAGAATGACTTAATTATTCTTTTAAAGGCATGCAAGCACTACTAGAGTAGAGACATCAATAAAAGTCACTACTAATAAAATGTATAAATCATCATATTTCGTTCATCTCTTTAACTTCTGCATATTGAGATATAAAATGTTTTAGACAAATATAAAATTAGATGAAAACCAAATAAAAAGAAGAAACATATTAATTAGTTGATTACAAATGCACGATAACTTAGTTTCATTTTATAATTTACAGAATGTGGATACACTAACAAAGTGAACGAGAAGATTGATGTGTACAGCTTTGGAGTAGTATTGTTGGAGTTGATCACCGGTAGGGAGGCGAGCGATGGAGGTGAGTATGGCAGTCTTGATAAGTGGGCTCGACTTCATTTTCAAAAAGGGAAAAAGATAATAGATGCAGTTGATCATAGAATCCGAAACCCCGTTCACCTGGATGAGATAGAAATGGTACTCAAATTGGCCATCATCTGCACTGGGACTCTACCATCAACCCGTCCAACTATGAAGGAGGTGCTGCAGATCCTGCTACGATGTGATCGAAGGTTCAGAAATGACGAGGGGCTGAGCTTAGAGCGCGACTGTGATCTCCTCCTTCAAAACAAGAGCAGCAGCTGGCGTAGTAAGAGCAAAATAAAAGTTGAAATCGAGGATCTTGTTGATAATGTTAACATTGTTTGATCTTGTTCCATGGTTCATGTTCTCTGTAGTTACCACAGTAGTTGTACATTGCAGTTAGTTTCATACCCCAGCCATTTTACTTTGTTCTATTGGGATCATCTTTTATTTTTGGCCAATATCATTTTCATTTTCTTTCGGCCAAAGTGCTGAAATCAGATAAATACACTGTCAATAACATGGAAAGTTAAAGATGATATGGCTTAGTTGTCATTTCCTCTCTCTCTCTCTCTCTCTCTCTCTCTCTCTCTCTCTCTCTCTTTTCACGAGTTCAAACTGCAATGTACTCTAATTATATTATTATGTTAAATCCCTTGCATATTATTATCTTCAATTAAATTTTGATCTCTTGAGGTCTTAGTTCATATTATAGAATTTATTTCTATTGTATTCAACTTTTTAGAAATCACTTCAACTTGTGTAAACAAAATTGATAAAACATTCAATTCATAAATTCTAACTACTTTTTGAGGATTTACCCTATAAGCATGCCACTGAAAATTATTAGTATCAATTTCCTCTATTAATTCATAGGCTTTCTTAAATGGCTTATACATTAATGATTGTCTAACTACGGCATCAACTATCACTTGAAGATATCCTACTGATCCACTATAAAATACTTGAATAATAACCTAATCAGTTATTGCATGATGTGGGCATTTTCTAGGCATTTTCTTAAATCATTCCAAACTCTCATAAATCGATTCTTCTTTAAACTGAGTAAAAGTAGTTATGTCATTTCAAAATTTAGCAATTTTTGAAGGTGGAAAATATTTAGAGAGAAACTTATGAGCTAATTTATTGCAAGTGGCTATAGAACCTGGGGATAAAGAATTCAACCAAATTTTTACTTTATCTCTTGGAGAAAAAGAAAATAATTTATGTCTAATAACATCATTCTTGATACCATTATACTTAAATATTGCACAAATTTCTAAGAAATTGGCTAAATATTAATTGGGATCTTCTACCGGAGTTCCCCAAAACTAAGAGTTCTAAACCATTTGAATAAAATTTTAATTCATAATTATTAGCTTAGATTGTAGGTATATTTATGCTCCGATAAATTTCATCTACTAAAAGGTTTGCATAATCCTTAAGGCATCTAGAATGATCTAGATCTAATTTAAGTTCAGCCATTTTCAAGATTTTTTTAGTTTTTTTAATTTTAGAAAGGGTTCTCTCAATTTTAGGATCAAATATCAAAAGTTCCTTTCTATGGTTATAAAGCATGCAACCAAAAATATATAAATAATCTAAGTAAAATAAAAAAAATAAAAATTTGTAAGTATTTCTAACTAAGAAATTAGTTAAATAATATAGTAAGAATTTTGCAAACATTAAAATACTTTCCTGACAATAATGCCAAAAACTTGATGGGTTTGTGCTTAGGTTTTCTTCAATAAAAAAATTATAGAAATACCACTTAATATTCACAGGAATATGTGCCAAATCATGTTATATAGTGATAGAGAAGAGTATCAATCCAACGAGAAAGATATGCTCACAGCTCACTTACAAATACTAATATTGTCTACTAAATTATAATATTTATCTTACTTGATAAAAATTGATGATGTGGAGATTCAATCATTAAATAAAATTACATAAATATAATAAATATATTATGCAGATATAATATTTTGATTTGATGAGTATAAATAATATATTTTTTCTAATAATTCTCTTTTAATTATGATGCCTTTCAGAGCTTATGCATTCCTCGATCTCTATCGAGCTTATAGGAACACAAGATGTCCACCGACTTCCTATGGTTATATCATCTCCTTAAGAATTTAAAGCATTTCATACCCTATGCCTAGGTATGATGTATATTAATTTAATATTCCTTGTTATGACTGCTTCCCTCCTTCAAGATACCACATTATACCAAATTTTAACTATGCATATGTCCATTATATGTATTAAGTTAAGATATGGTAATATTAAAAACATCTTCTTAAACATTTAAGGAATAAGAGAACTCATTAATACTATATGTGATATTTACATCATTGACCCAAAACCAGAGAATTTAGCCAGAGAAGAAGTAGAATTGAAGCAAAATCATTTTAATTAATATCATTGAAGAAAGAAGATACAAGAAATAGATATAACCAGAATGATTCAATTAATCTCCTCTACACTCCTATTTTCGTATAGATTTTCTTCCTTAAATTTAAGTCAAACACTCTAAAAATGGTATCAAGCACTTCTCTAAATTCCCTTAGTTATCACCCTAAGGGAAATTCAGAGAAGAACTCTGAATTATACTAAAATTATTTAATAAATTGAACTCTCTTACAAATATAACATAATAACTATTTATTGGAAAATATAAGTAGGCCTCTGGTGTTGTGGAGCTAGAAAGATCGCTGCCACTATGCCCAACAAATGAACCAATGCCATTACACTGCTTTTCTGGTTCCACCACTATGCTTGGTAATGTGGACCAGTCATCATTTAGCTATAGATCATGTCCCTGGGAAATGAAAAGTGCTATGCCACAGCACTACTGACTTTTGAACATTGCGGCGCCATAACAACAATTTTGGTATTTATGCATTATAGAGTGTGATGCTATGGCACTATCGAAAAAATAACACGGCGATGTAAAGCTAAATTTTTGACACCGCCATGCTATCTGATAGATAAGTTAGCACTGCAATGTTGATATTTAGGTGCTCCAATGGTGTCTTTGAAGGTGATGTAGTGTTGATTATTTTAACGCCATGATGTTATACGAAATTTAGAATTTTATGTCTGTATGTATTTTTCTTGCATAATACAACTAAAAAACACATTTCATTGAAAATATAATACAAATAATAATACATTATTTATACTTTTCAATCTACTCTCCTAGTCAGGTAATTAGAAGGCTGATTTTTTATATGACAAAGCCATCTAAGGCTGCTCTCTCTAATCTTATCTGGCACTAGTGCTACTTCCAACTCTTCATGTATACTCATTTCACATTCTATCCCTAAATGTACCACCACTCATCCACCTGAGTATCCTCATCTCTATAACACTTAATTTTATGATTCTCTTTTGATATATAACATTCTGGGCCATAAGATATTGTAAGCCTCATCACCATCCAATAGAATTTTTCCTTAAGTTTAAAAAGTACTTTTTTTATAACACAACAGGTCTGATGCATTCCTCCACTTCAACCATCCAATTTGAATTATACTAATAATATACCCATCTATTTCACCATCACTTTGAATAGTAGACTTGAGATTTCTAAATTATGTAATCATTTTAATGACTTGATCACCAAAGGTCACAATCCCCCCACTAGATCTACTACTACTAAAATTCCACTCTATGTATTCAATTTTATGTCTACTCAAACAAAAACCTTTTGATTATAAGGTTGATATCCATAATTCAAGTTTTCCTTCAACTCCCTATCTAGTCATATAAAAAAGAGGAAAATCATCCACAAAAAAACATACAATAGGTTACATCCTTTTGTAAATGTTTAGTAAGAACATCCATGAATAAAGTATAAAGATTTGTGCTTTCTAATCCTTGATGTAATCCAACTGAAAACCAAAATACTTGGTCAAACTAGTTTATGTTTAAACACATGTAAAACCTCTAAGATACATATCCATAACAGCTTAAATATAAGTATTACTAACTCCTTTCTTTTCTAGAAGTCTCTAGAGTGCTTCTCGTGGAACTTTATGATATGTGTTCTCTAAATCAATAAATATCATGTGTAGATGTTGCTTTCTCTATTCTTCTTCATGAAACCTCTCAACAAATGTATATTTTTATAGTAGACATATTAGGTATGAATCCAAATTGATTTTGATAAATATTAGTATAACATCATAACCTATGCTCAATTATTCTCTCCCATAGTTTTAATGTATGACATATAATTTCTCTATGATTTGTACACTCTTATGCATCATCTTTATTCTTAAAAATAGGAACCAACACACTCCTTTTCTACTCATTTAAAAAATAATATTGAAAAGTTTAGTAAGCCAAGAATTTGCTTGATCTTCTAAGCATTTCCACACTTCTGTTGTATTATCATCCGGTTTCCCTATTTTTTGCACTTCATTTTCTTTAAAGCCACTTTAACTTTGGCTTTATCAAAACATTGATAAAACTAAAAATTCTATTTTCATTTAAGGTGCTAAGGTTATGTAAGCCAATTGTATTCTTACAATATTCATCGAAAAGTTTATTAAAATATCTCATCCACGTATGTTTGATATAATCTTAAAAAAAAAAAACTTTTTGATCCTCATCCATAATGAACTTTGCTTGAACTAGATTTTTACTCCTATCTTTTTCTTGGCAAATGTATACATACATCTTTAACCATACTTAGCATCTAATATATTATATAAATCATAAAAACCTAAATTCTTTATAAACAAAGTATAAAGATTTGTTCTTAAAGCTAATCCATAATGTAATGCAACTGAAATAGGAAAATACTTGGTCAAACTAGTTTAATTTTAAACACATGTAACACCATTAAGATACATATCTTTAATGGCTTTAATATAAGTATTATTAACTCCTTTCATTCGAGAACTTTCTATAGCGCTTCTCTTGGAACTTTATGATATTTGTTCTCTAAATCAATAAATATTATTTGTAGATCTTCCTTTCTCCATTCTTCTCCAATAAACCTCTCAATAAATATATAGTTTCATAGTAGACCAACACAACATAAATCCAAATAGATTTAAAGATATGTTAGTATTACATCATAACCTATGCTCAATTATTCTCTTCAAAATTTTAATGTATGACACATAAACTTAATTCATTTATGATTTGCACACTCTTAAGCATCACCTTTATTCTTAAAAATTGGAACCAACACGCTCCTCTACTTATCGAACATATATGTAGTCTTCAAAATCATATTAATAGGTTTAGAAAATAAATAAATTTTCTGATCACCTAAGCATTTCCACACCTCTTTTGGATTATCATTAGGTTTCACTAATTTTCAAACATCATTTTCTTTAAAGCCTCTCTAACATTGACTTTATAAATAATATGTTAAAAATAAAAATTTATTTTCTTTTAGGGTGCTAAGGTTATACAAAATAATTGTGTTCTTAAAATCTTCATTAAAATGTTTATTAAAATATCTCTTCCACGTATGTTGGATATCATCATAAAAAAACACTTTTGTCTCCTCATC